AGAACATGTAAAAAAACCATTTTTGGGGTTGTAAATTTTTGATTTTTTCATGTTTTGTCTTAATCGGTATATCTTAAATATTGATTGTGTTTACAATCATTTTGTTGACATTCATTATATTAAGGTTATTTTGATTATATCAAGAGATATGGTCAAGAGAAGAGTTAGGAAGAGAGTTATTCTTCAACCAAGTCAAAAACCAACCTTTAAATACATTTTCAAGTAGTACAATTTAATTTATTAGACTATTTCAAAGGTTTGCATGGTTACTTCCAACTCTTAAATTCGAACCATTTGTTAATGAAACAACTGTTAGTGAAGTGATTGTTGACAACATGAATCAAACCAACATTTATTTTTACATTATCAAATTCATGCCTGTTCTTATTCCTCTACTCAAACAAATAATTGTTCACAACACAATGAATGCTATTTGGAATGTAATTGTTTTTTATATGTCAATTCTTAGTAAACATTCTGGTCTTGGGACAGTTCTTGTTATTATTATTTATTTGTATAACATCGTAATTAGTTATTTAGTAGAAATTAATGTAGATTCACATTTAAAAGACTATTACTATATTGCATTTTAAAAGTTATTCAGACAGAATTAAATCGCAAATTTGTGCAGATTCATAATTAAATTGTTGAATAGTAATTAGGGTTAGTGATGTTAGCCAGCTAAGGAATTTTTAAACAACTTAGCCAGCCAAAAAAATTTTCTCTTGACATTCCATTTTTACATCTGAAATTTCAGCACAGAATTCAATGGCATAGACATTTAATTTAGATGGATCCACCTACATTACTTAGAATAACAAAAAAAACATACATTCACTCAAAAAGCAAAATAAAATACATCATAGCAGGATAAAAGTCATAGATTTTCTATTCATAATGCAAATTCTTATTTTAATTCAAATTATTCATTTATTCAAATAAAACTTCAATGTAATTCAAATACTCAAATTCCTAATGAAAAAAACAAATAATTTGAACCACTAAAGACAAGATATTATAATAACAATAGTAAATAATAGTAATAATAATAACTATAGTAGTAGTAACAATAATACCAGCTAGCTTAGTACCATCTGAAAAGGTTTTCATCAACTGGGATTTATTAAGTTCTTCGCTGGCTAAGTTTTTCTATTGGCTAACATCACTAATTAGAGTGCTATATTGCAACAAAATTGTTATCAAGTAATTTAATTGTAAATAAGAAACTTGAATTCAACATACTTGTAAAAGAACTTTGCAAGAAGTTTAATAACTTTGTGATAAGTTACTTAGAAATAAGTTGATAAATTAGTTTTAACTAAATAAAAAATTTCTTTATAAAATCAATAAAAAAATTATCTGTTAATAAAACTAATTTGTTAGTAATGGCTGATCCACATAATCATTAATTATTGTTATCACCAATTATTACACTCTCCAAAATAATAATTGGTCTTAAAAACAATTCCAATAAAATAATTTAAGTATAACGTAATTGTAAATCAGATTAGATCATTTCTTCTATTCTTCTTCTTTCCTTTCATTATTCTCAGTAATTTTTTGTTAATTTAATGAGGATCCAACACAATTGTAAATGAGACCGCCAGTTTTGAAATCAAAAATGCATTCTTTACATTCCTAAATCATGAGTTTCGAAATTAAATCTGGTATTAGTATGGTATGTTAATTATAAATGTCTAAAATTTATTTTTCACAACCAATGTTGGTGATGCTACCTCTGTTAATGAATGACTTGGATTCTCAATTTTCTACTGCTTAATACAAGTAAGTGTTTATCATAAGAATGGTAGTGGTGGCTATTGCCAGTCATTGTCACTCTAGTTAAAATAATAAGAATCATATTAATATTTAATAAATGTGTTATATACACTCACTAGACAAAAGTCAGGCGCATTTTTAAACAAAAATTGTGCAAAAACGCACACAATAAAAACACAAATAACTTATATCATTTTGTAGCCTAGGTTCTCAAAATTTTGCATGCAAAA